TGTACTTTTCATCTGAATTTCTCAGAATTCAATGTATGATAATTTAAGTATTAGTGATTTGTTTTGTTCATGTTTACTTTTCTTCTGATGCTGGATTTGCTTTATTCATATTTACATAGGATCCAGATAGCAAAGCTTCATTTAAATAAATATCTCATTCTTAGAAATGCTATTATACAGGGTTCATATTAGTCAAGGCAGAAAAAAATCTGACTCAAGGCTTTTTGCTTACCACTTTCAAAAACGTTTAGAGGTCTTTTTGATCAACTTTGATGCCATGTCACAATGTAACTGAACACTGATGTAAAAAATATATAAACATAAACAAGGCCAGGATTTTTTATTCAATTAATACATACACTAAGTAGCAATCTTCCCATTTTCATGATCTTACAAGTTCCAAGGCCATATTCATCATGTTTCTTAAACACCTGACCGACTTTAATGACTTTTAAAGACTTTATTAGGAATTATCCCAATTATCCAAAGATATTTACAGAATTGCAAGATCTGAAAAAAATTCAGACATTCTAGGAAATTAGAGACTGCTACAAACCCTGTTATAGACCATTATCACTTTTAAGAAAATTGCACATAGTATTACAAACACTCATTTAAATTCCAATGGGAAATGTCCTATTTGCATATTAGAAAATTGCACATAGTATTACAAACACTCACTTAAATTCCAATGGGAAATGTCCTAATTGTATATTAGTTCATTTTCTCATTATACGTTAAAAATTATTAAATAAAAGTCCAATCCTACATAGGTTTGATAAGATAAGACCACAAATATAAATATTTATTGGTAATTCATACTATCACAGATATTGCGAGTGAAATGTTACTTTCCATCAGTTACATTCTCCTAAATTGTAACCTCAACTTCTGAGCATTCTTCCTTTGCTGGAATCTGTGACGTTCCTTCCAGCACAATGATTTCCGAGCTACCTTCTGAGAGAATAATTTCTTTGCTCCCTTCCACGGTAGGAGAATGTGGTTCATCTTGGAGAATAACAATACCCTTTGTTCTGTCTACACCTGTAATATTTTGGCCTGGAAGATCAGTAGGCAGACTGTTAGAGAACTGCACTGTTGCCATGTGGACATTTGAAAAATGGGATTCCAGATGGTCTGATTTTACATTTACATGACAAATTGGGCAGCTGTATATGTACTGTATGTTTGTTTTGGGAGCCTTTCTGCCTAATTTTTGACTATGGATTTTGCTGCCATGAATCAACTTCATGTGCGTCTTGTAGGTTGCTTTGGCCGCAAAAGCAACATTACACTCACTACACGTATATGGTTTTTCCCCAGTGTGAGTTCTTATGTGCTCTACCAGTTTTGCCTTGCATATAAACACCTTATCACACATTGAACATGGATGACGATAGTTGTGCTTTTCATGGACTTGTTTATTATGGCAATAAAGAGCACTGGAAGTGGAAAAAGACTTACTACACTTTTGACACTCAAATTTCTTGTCAGAGCTGTGTTGTGCTATGTGGTCCAGGTAGCGATTTCTATACATAAATGTTTTATTGCACAGTTCACATAACAAACAGCCTTCTTTTGTAATCTTTGCTTCGTCATGTATTTTCAGGATATGATCACGTAAACTCCTTTTGCATGGCCAAGTTGTCTCACAATGTGGACAAGACTGTAGTACTGCCTGGTGGTATTCTAATGTTGTCTTATTAGACATGTACCTCATACAAGCTTCACATTGATACTCTGATGTAGTTTGTGATTCTGGCATAGTTCTACCATGTTCTACAATCAGGTGTTCTCTGAGAAGATAACGTCCAGTATAACTTTTCCCACACTCTTCACATGTGAAAGGCTTCCCACTATGAATCAACATATGACGTTTAAGATTTACATTTGATGACAAAAGTTTCCCACATAATTTACAAGGAAAGGAATGGGTGCCTAAAGAGGACTTGTGACTGTGCATGTGTTTGGTAAAAATGGAATGCAATTTGAAATTCAGTTTGCATTGATCACATCTATAAGGACCCTTTCTTTTTCTATGCCTTCCTCTGCTCCCTCTACAACCATCCTGTCTCCTCTTCCTACCTATTTCACTGGGTGTATATCCCATCCTATCTTCTTCACTTTCTCCATCCTCTTTAATCATCGACCTATCATCTGCTGCAGCCTGCTCTACAGCATTTTCCTCAATGCTGTGCTGACTTGAACAACTAATGTCCATTGATGAACTTCTCTTTTCGTGGTTATCACTCGCACCTCTTTCCTCCTCTTCTGCGTCCCGCAGCTTCCAGTCTTCATTAGGCAGAGGGTTTGTTTTATCTCCCTCTACTCTCTCTTCAGATCCTAAGGAGGCATTTGAATGACTCACAGGACGACTAGTAACTCTGGTTTCTGTGATGTCGCTGGGATCAAACTTGACAGGCACTTTTCTTTCCCTTCTACTGCGAGCTGCTGAAAGAACTCTGAACATTCCTAAAAACAGAACAGTTCAAAAGGTTAATAATTATAAAAATAACTGTAACATAACATACAGGCCTATGCATGTGGAATAATTGTATATTTCAAAATTACAACAACTGTTTTTTTTTTCTTTCTTTCTTTATATATATATACAGTTGACAGTCTTCCAAAATCTGATCTGATAAAGAAACAGCATCCTCTTAGATCATTATTCACAACTTCTATGCATATTTAAATGTTACTAAGTTTATCAAATACACATACAGAGTAGTTATGCATTTACATTCATAACAAGGCAATAATAGTGACAGAAATAGCAACATTATTCATACCATAACATATCAAATATCTGTGATAAAAAATTTAATCAGACACACACACACACATACACGGACACACACACACACACACACACACGCACGCACGCACGCACGCACGCACGCACGCACACACACACGCACACACACACAACACACACACACACACACACACACACACACACACACACACACACACACACACAACACACACACACACACACGCACACACACACGTGCACGCACACACACACGCACACACGAGCACACACACGTGCACACACACAAACACACACACACACACACACACACACACACACACACACACACACACACACACACACACACACACACACACATGATTTTTTAAAATGCAAACAGTAATTTATATAATTTACCAATAAAAGTAACAATTATTAATGAAAAAAGCAGGATTAAAACAGAAACAAAGTTAGACAGTACTCAAAGAAATACAATCCCTTGCTAATTCTCGTCCAGAAATGAGCTAACATTTCCCCACAAACCCATCCACATGTATATAAAATCCGCACACACTGATATAACTTTGTACAGCTACCTATAATGTCTTCATTGGTGTTGTCATTCACGGAGCCGCTTTCTGGTGTGAGTTTCCCCTGCTTTTTGGGACGTCCCCTCTTTCTGGGTTGGTGCTGGCGTGCTGCCTCCTTTGCTCTGAATTCTGACTCTGAAACTTGAGTAGGCATATGTTTTTATAAAAAGAAATTGAGTGTGTGTGTGTGTGTGTGTGTGTGTGTGTGTGTGTGTGTGTGTGTGTGTGTGTGTGTGTGTGTGTGTGTGTGTGTGTGTGTGTGTGTGTGTGTGTGTGTGTGTGTGTGTGTCTGTGTGTGTGCATCAGTGAGTGAGTGAGTGAGTGAGTATATGAAAGAACATACACATACATGTCATAAGGAATATGCAAATTTACAAGCACAATGCATCTCCATATATTTACAAAAAGGCCATCCTTACTCAGTCATCATCACTTTTACACATCTATGTTGTCACTCCTCATCCCTAACTACAAACAAATGAAGAGAAAATACCAAAACCATAGTCATACTGAACTTACTTCTAGCATCGTAAGATTCCTCATCATCAGCGTGATGCATGGAGGTGGCAGCATCCACTGTGCAAGGAAGGTAACACTGTGTCCCTGCATCTTCATTCTTGATGACGCAGATGAATAAATAAGGGCCAGGACCTCGAATCTCTTCCAGGTCAGTTTGTATGCCGATACTATGCATCACATTAGCTACCTGTGGAGCAAGTGTGGGTTAGGTTTGTGTTAATTCCTTGCTCAATATTTGGTACTGAAAGGATCTGGCTTCATAAAATTTCAACTTTTTTCACAATAACATCATGAATTGCTATAAGTAATGATGGTGATTACTACTACTACTTCTACTACAACTAACAGTTAAGGTTTACGATAGGACCGCACCAACTAGGAGAAAATTGAAGATGATACCAATAATTGTAATGAAAATTATGATAACAATAATAATAATAATAATAATAATAATAATAATAATAATAATAATAAGATAAAAATGAAACAAAAGAGGATACCAGTAATAGTAATAAAAAATATAATAATAATAATAATAATAATAATAATAACAATAATAATAATAATAATAAAAAGCATAATACAATGATAATTATAGTAACAATAAAAATTATAATACTAAAAATCATGAAAATAGAATACTAACAAAAATGATAATTATGACAACAAAAATAATACTAACAATAACAATAAAAATTATAATACAAACAATGATACAAATGATAACAATAATAAAAATGGTAATAATTTATAAAAAATTATGATACCAACAATAGTAATAAAAATGATAATAAAAAATAATAAAATAATAAAAATAATAATAAATAAAGATAATAATAATTATCATAAAAATAAAACGATAACAATGATAACAATAATAACAAAAATAATAGTGACAATAATTACAAACATGACATTAAACATTAACAATAATAATAAAAATGATAATAACAATATTAATTATAATGAAAATAATAATAATAAATGATAACAATAATAATATGCTAATAATATTAATAAAAATGATAATACAACAATAATAAAATTATAACAATGATACTAAAAATGGTAATAATAACAAATAAGCAATATCAATAATAGTAACAAAAATAATAAAACATTAATAATAATGATGGTAATAATAATAATAAGAAGAATGAAAGGGACAAAAGAAATACCAAAAATTATAATAATAATAATAAAAATGATAACAACAACAAGAGAGAAAATATAACAATAATGGAAATTATACTAACAACCATAATAAAATTGACATTAACAGTAATAATGAAAATGATAATGACAATAATAAAATTGATAACAGCAATAATAATAACAATGATAACAATAATAATGACAGTAACAAAATCAATAAAAATGATAACAACAATAATAATAATGACAATGACAATGATATTTACCTCATTTGAATGTGGTAGCTACATAATCTTTTCATAATACTAATGCCCTTTCCTTGTTTGTTGATGTAGCAACTTAAAAGTTTACCAGTGTGTGCAACCATTACCTGCCCTTTGCCAGAGTCCCAAAGGCGCAGAGCCAATGGTTGCGTATGTAGGTGTTTCATAAATATTTGATAAGTCGTGATTATAATAAGTTCATAACTATCCCTGCACAGTGTCATTCTCGATCACTACCAAGAGTCACATCTCAATCTGAATCTCAATAAGTTTGAAGCGTAAAGCATATCACCCTTCCAAATAAATGGAAAGAAATAAAGGTACAGGTTGTTTCATACAGCCTTCTTTAAAACGATAAATGATATATGCAAATGACAGTGCCAGTGATTCTTGCGAACTTATCTTCTATGTATTTAATACCCTAAACCTTTCTGTTCCAGACCTGTTTTTTCTGATTCATGAATGGTCCCAAAAGTAACACAAGTAACAAGAGATTGAATTAAAATAATACCTTATAATGAAGAAGTATCAGAAACAATCATAGAATTAATAGTCTCAATATGAAGAAAGACGCCAATCTATATCTAAATGATAAATGAAACTTTATTGATAACGAATTAATCAGTATGAATTTAAGGATATATGTTTTGACTTTTGGAGACACTTGCTGTAACTTTCAAAATGGGATCGTCTCTCAAAATTTTTATATTTGGTAATGTAAATTACCCTCTAGTCTAAGTATTGTATGGAATTTCCACTTTTCGTCCCCAATTCAACATTCTAAGACTAATTCAAACTCTTGTTAATCCACAGAAACATGGAAATAAATGACCAACTTACACTTGTTTATGTACAACAGCTTTGACTTTGTTTACATTTGGAATATTGAAACAACTGACATGTGACATCCGCAACTTCATGTGTGACCCAGCACGCGTGCGCGTGCACACACACACATACACATACACATACACACACACACACACAACACACACACACACACACACACACACACACACACACACACACACACACACACACACACACACACACACACACACACACACACACACACACACACACACACACACACACACACACACACACACAAACGCGCACACGCACACATGTAAACGCACACGCACTATAGCCACCTCTTTTTTCTGGTAACCCCTCGACTTTCCAACTTGATTACAAAACTGTAATTTACAGACTGTCATTGTGTATGCAAGTGACTATAAACGTTGGCAGAAGCTACAGTAATGGGTCTATAAACTGTACTAAAAAGGAAAAAGAAAAATACCTCATTCCCTACTGTCAGAACCTCTTTTCGTTTTCTAGTACCAACTGATCGACGATACTGATGGATTACTAGAGGAAATTGATGTTAAATTTGAATAGTAATTAATCCATTCTAAGGACACATGATCAATTTAGTGTATACAAACGGAGAGAGAATAAGGGGAGTAAGAAAAAGTGAACAAGTAACCTACTGGATAATTTACTAATTTGTATAAGTTCATACCTAATGGGAATATGATAAACTTTTGTAGGTCACTAAATTCAGAAATCGCTTTGGAAACTTTAAAACACATTTTTTCTTTTTACAGAAGTCTGATGTTAATATTTCATAGTGATTTAATTCCAGCATTGTATTGGTCACGGGTAGTGGGGGTCCGTAGGACGACCTAAGGATTCGTGTTTTGGGCAAGGTCTATATAAGTACTTATATAGACCAAACTTCGAAAAAAGAAGGGTAGGAAGGAAATTCATTTTGCAGGCAAGAGGCTTGTTAGAGGTTCTGTCCTGACATTTGAAAGCTCTCAAATATAGTGTCTTGAGTGTCACTTACCACTCCCCCCCCCTCTCTCTCTCTCTCTCTCTGTGTGTGTATGTGTGTGTGTGTGTGTGTGTGTGTGTGTGTGTGTGTGTGTGTGTGTGTGTGTGTGTGTGTGTGTGTGTGTGTGTGTGTGTGATATTTTGTTCGTATCAGTAATGCCCGTCAGTCCTGCCTCTGACGCGAAGTAAACTGAAGAGAAGGCTAAGGAAAAGGCAATAATGAGAAAAGGAAATGTACAGATTGGCCACACAGGGGAAGGATGTGGAACAGGATTAGGCTGATGGCAATATTGAAAAGCAAGAAGTAGGTTAAGAAGGAAGTTAGAATGCTGAGAAGCTGATGAAAGACGAAGCAGAGAGATGGTTAGATGATATGAAGTCACGAAGTCTGATGGATTATCAGTGAAGGTCATTAGCAGCATATACAAAATATAGCAACAGGGCGAGGCTTGGGAGTAAAGGCCTTAGGTAGGGAAAGGGTATACAGCTTTATGACAAAGTATTGTGGCAAAAGGGTTAAGAATGAGTTAACAATAAGGATAAAATATGTTAGATGTCAAAGGCTGTAGTGCGCTGTAAGAGGGAACAGCAGATGGAGTATGAAGGCCGTTCAGGACTGACACAAAGCCAGCCTATGATCCTTTCAGCACGGATCCCACACTTTAGGATGTAGACAGAAGGGGATCAAGAAAGGGAAAATAAAGAAGAAAAGACTATGCAAAATTAGTTGAGGCAAGGGCTGAGGTCCAAGGTAGGGGTGATCCCTCACATTGGGCCCCAGTCTCTGTCTCCTAAGCCCCCCATGGCAACAGGGGGAACCTGCGAAGATGATAGAGACTGGAAAGGTGACTGTTCTAGATGGTACATCATTGGAGATATGGAGATGTTCAGGACCAGACTGTTTAGCAAATCTTGGAAAGTGAGAATAATCCTAAGAAATGGAGAAATGTACCATTCCCATTCTTTAAAGAATAAGGACCGTGTCCAAACTCCGGTTACCAGTAATGGAAATACAGTGCATGATGCAGGAATTAATTACAACTGCAACAATTACCGTATGTATCAAAGATTATGTGAATGTGGTAACACGGTGAATCGTTGCTGTCCGTAGACGACGACAATTAGACATCTCGCATCAGCTGTTACGTAGGTATTTTTTTACACCTTGAAATCTAGACCCAAAAAACAATCCATTGAGGATTTAAATGGGTCAACTTTACATATGAAAAGGTTGGCCCATAAGCAAGACCTTTAAAGAACGTGTTGAACTAAACTATCCTTCAGGTATCATTTATGTAAATTTTGTAATAGATTTAAAAGGATAAGACGATTTGATTTTAAAAAAATTCTCATTAGCATTTGAATAAATACATATATTATCATTTATTGCTCATTTTATTTTCATGGGCAGAAAATAGCAAGAATGAACATATTGACCTGTTTACAACAGGTTTTATATTAGCATTTTTTTATACATGGAACGTCATAAATCTCAAAATATATTTCTTTTCACTTTTTATCTGGCAAATGAATGCATACGATACTTGATCTTCCATATTTTCTTATATGTGCTTAAAACCAACATCATCAGTTACAATTGTGTATTCCTCTACTGCAAATAATACAAATAAAGTTATGAGAAACTGCACCAGTTAAGCATGAAGTGAAGGAACCAATTATGCAAGTTAGGTTTTGAATATCACTACTATTACATTATATAAATCATTTGTATGTTTTATTTTATACTTTTTTGGAAAGGATCCTTGATCATGTTCCAAATATTATGAAGGAAAATGGAAGTGAAAGCAGATAAAGAAAGATGAAATACATTGCCAAATACAAGATTTTTTTTGTTTCACTCTCCTGCCTTCCCCAGGGGGTTGCATTTGTAATGTCTGACACATACAAATTATTTACCTGCACAGTTTTGTTAATAGACATGTATAGTATGACTATAAATCCAGTCTCCAAGGTAAACCATACAAGAAATAGATATTTAATGATTTTATTCTAAGAATATGATTATCTATGAGACACACCTAGCATCATGAAATTATGAGTAACAAGTATGAATGTGTAAACCCCAAATGGAGAAGATGCACTTCACCTTCTCTGCTTTTTGCTCACATACACCAAACATTTTGTGGCATTGTTAACAACCTTCAGCCTCTTAGCTTTGTTTTTGTTAATTTTCCTCTTTCTCATCTGCCGGACAGTGTAGAGTTTCTTGAAGATCCCCTTCTTGTCATTGCCCATGATGCTTCCAGTGTCACTCATTACTTCCTCCTTAACCTTAACCTCAACCTCTGGCTGGTTTGTGTCCATGGTTTCAGCCTCCTCTGCATTCTTCTCCTCCTTCGGCTCAAGAAGTTCAACTGAAATATTAAGTAAAAAAGATGAAACATGTGTTGGCAAATGCACACCAGAATATAAAAAAGTATAAATTTCAATTCAAAATAATATTGAAAAAGTCAAAGAGACTTCTAAATAACCAGAGCATACATATGCAAATGTATGCCCACACAAACACCTTAATAAATGCTACCAACCTTTTGGAATTCTTCCGACTACTTTTGGGAGAGCATTGTTCTCCTCAGCTTTTTTGACAATTGACAATAACTGTTTTTCGAGTTTTGGTGCATAACGTGGAATTCTGCCCTTCTTGACTCTCTTAGCAGCTTTGCCTTTGGAACTTCTAGCCATTATTGATAAGCAGAAGGTATCTGTAAGGCAAGGGATACAAATATGATTTAGAAATGGTGGTGGAGGGAGGAGGGAGGGAGGCAGGGAGGCAGAGGGGTTGAGGAAGTGAGAGTGAGAGAGAATATATATATATATATATATATATATATATATATATATATATATATATATATATATATATATATATATATATATATATATATATATATATATATATATATATATATATATATATATATATATATATATATATATATATATATATATATATATATATATATATATATATATATAATAATATATATATATATAATATATATATAATATATAATATATATATATATATATAAATATAATATATATAATATATATATATATATATATATATATATATATATATATATATATATATATATATATATATATATATATATATATATATATATATATATAATATATATATATATATATATATATATATATATATATATATATATATATATATATATATATATATATATATATATATATATATATATATATATATGAAGGGGAAACTGCTATTGAGAAATTATGCAGATGAAAAAAATATAAACAAATAAAATAAAATAATATACTGGAATTATCTGTTTTAATGTATTAATGCCAGGAGGACATGTATATATAAAACCTGTCGACTGTGATTTTCCTTTATCAATTTTATTTACGCATTGGTGGATCTATAAGTGTTTAGTAAAGGAGTCAACTGCTAGGCTTACCTGCCCTCCCTTGTTTACCATTTCTTGATTTTTATTTACAAATTTTCATTATTATTATATTTATAGAAGCATTTGGTAAGGTTTCCCAGTTTAGACTGCTTTTAATTGAAAAACAGAAAATAATATATGGCAAATCTTCCAGCTAGATATAACACTGTCAGGATACTAGTCAATAGGTAATACCTTGTTGGCTCATAAGGAACATTCTCTCAAATTCAAAGACACTTCAGAACGGCTCAGACTGACTGTAATGCGATGCAGTTCAACAATGACTTGCTGAGGTACGAGACAGCTTGACAGTTATTAGCCAACAGGTATAAGATACTGGTAACTCTGGGTCCAGTACCCCTTAAAATGTGTGAAGTGTTGCTGAATATGAGCACTTTACTTGACTTGACTCTTCCTAAAGGAAGAGTCAAGGGTTAAAGCCTCTTAAAAAATGAAAATGCATTTTGTGGTTTATCTTAAATTCTATGGTAAGGTTGCATTTTCAATTAATTTTCCCTTTCTACTGGATAAGTTTTACAAGATATTTTTTGCTGTGAATCTAATGATCCTTATAATTATGTCTGTTAGATATAACTGCTTGCCAACAGGCTTGGGGACACGCATTTTGGTCGGAGGGGTATGAACAAGAAGACAGCAGGGTTAGGCCTAGACTATTCAGCATTTTTGTATTTTTGTCATCGTTAATAGAAATAAAAAACACACTACAGGGAACTACTGAACCATAATAGCCTGCCAAGAAGGCAAAATCTCCACTTAAATTGAATAACAAAATAAAGCCCAGGCAGGTCTGCGTGACGTGCCTGATTTGATGTAAAGGCATCCACCTCTTGTTGCCCATATATCCTCATATTCAGAGACACTTTGGATAACTTAACTGGAAAGATGGACTGGCATCTCACTGCTGTCATCATCATCATCATCATCGAGACAGTCCAGCAGTGACTGGCTGTCAAGGATGAGAGACCGATTCAGCTCTGTTTAAAGTGTCCCAAATGTCTCTGAATATGAGCATCAGTATTTTGTTTTTCAGCAAATTTCAAATGTTCAACAATTGCAATAATTACTGCATGGGTTCTAATAACTGGCCCTAAGATGCAACAAAGCCAATAATTCCCTGGTACATTCCATGCCTTCCCCAGTTAAGTGGGTCAAGATCTGTCCCAGACTGTAGAGTATTTTTCTTGCGCGGGGAATATTGCATTTTTTCATGCCCGGAAAACATTATTTTGTCTACATTTGCGCAGACAGATGATGAAACAAGAGCTGGGAAATGTCAAAAGAATTTTATGTGCGGAAGACAATTTAATAAAGAATTAAGTATGCAGAAAGTTACCCGACACTACATTTGCATGGACAGAATTTGACCAAATAATTTTTGCACGGGGAATGTGTAACTCTACAGTCTGGGATCTGTCTACCAAGTTCCCTTAGACTAAATCTATTATATATGGACAGTACACGTTTAAAGAACTGGCACTCATGGCATAGCACAATTGAAACCAAGATTATCCTTGTACTAGAAAGAGCACATAAAGGCCATATGGGCGATTTTCACTACCGTACTGCAATTTACTTGAATTGGTATATATCACACTTTGCCATACTACATACTTAGCTCTGCTTCCCTACACATTTCTCTGCCATATGTAAACAAACAATACTTTAACTAATATGTACACTACAATTAATGTTAGTACTCCTACCCTCAGAAACATCAGAATAAATGCTGTAAAAGAATCAGCCCAAACACTTACCGCAATGAAATGGATCGTGTTTTCCTTCACACACGTGTCTTTTGCTTCGTCTGGACAAGTCTGTCTTTGCAGGGGATACGACGGAAGGTCTTTTAGTTGGGAAAGTTGGAGGTGATCTCTGTGAATGAGTGCGGGTGTTAATTTCTAATTCG